AGAGATGGACAACCCCCTTAGCCACTGTTCTGTATTTTCTCTTATTAGTCACCAGTTACAGATGAACAGACTCCACAATCCAGGTCTGAACCTGGGCAGGAGGAACATCATGATGACAGTGAAAGACACAGAGATCACCATGAAGAGGACGGACACCATCATCAGCATTCCCGTCCGCACCATCACAAACATGGACATAAGCATGAACACCAGGAGCCACACCATCCTCACTCCTCAGATGACATCACTGAGACACTACCAGAGCAGAAGGAAACAGTAGGGCGGGTGATAGTCTATCCTCCTTCGACCAAGCATGTCTCGCTCCACTCCTTACCAGAAACTCAAGCAGAGCACTTAGATGAAAAACCAATTCCTCCAGAAGTTCAGAAACCAAATCCAACTTCTAACCCCAGGCTTGCTTCTGCAGAACAGGAAGCCAGTACTCACTCAGCCAAGCCAGCCAGACCAGCCCTTCCTTCCTTCCCTAGTGGGTTTTCAAAATCTGCTAAATGCCCAGGAGACCTTCTAATAGAGATCCATGGACTTCAGCTGCCTTTACCCTCATAGGCCAGAGGTTCACTAAAATTGAGTGATGGACTATAGAAAACTGAAAGCTTAGTCCAGTGGAAACACATCAAACTCTCCACACAAGCAAAACTCTCTACGCAAGGAAGGAAGGAAGGATAATTGTGGCTGATGTGTACTGTAACAACTGAACAAATTTTGGTGCTTTATAAATGAGCATCTCTTTGTACTTTTCCTGTGCTATTTCGTCTATGCTTGTTATCCGTAGAAAAGGAAATGTTCCCTTTTGAGACATTCTGAGCATTTAAGAGAGAGTATTTTAGAAAGCCCCCAAAATTCTAACACTAACTCTAACCAACATAACAGTTTATTGTTTTCCTTCCTTTCTTCCTTGTTCCTCACAAACAATGGAGAATAACAACTACTTTTGTGCTCAAGGAAACTTTGAAAACATTCAATAAAAGAAACAATGTGGGATGACTGCCTTTATTGTGGCTGTTTCAGAAACCAGATTCTCCAAAGGAAGGTGGAGAATTTCAGTGGGAACAGGTGATGGTGAGGTATGCACCATACTGAAATTTCTTGTGCCCATCTTTTCCGTGTGTATGTTGTGATGTTTCTCTCTTGGCGTTCTTATAAAGTGGTTCACAGATTTGACAACAATAAAATGATAAATACTTAAATGAAAGAAACCTTGGCTATACTAGTCCACTTAAAAATAGGAGCAGATTTTTTTTCCCCTCTAAAGATCTGTAGCCTTGAAAATATCTTTTGGGATAATACCATTGATGCTTCTCCATATGAGGCTCCCACAGAGGGTGCCAACCTTCTCTGGCAATCCACCAAGACCCTATGTTCTTGGACAAATGAGTTTTTAGACCTGCTGGTTCCAGGGTATTCAATGCTTCAAAAATGAAGGTTTGGAATCTAGACTCCTGAGTCTAGAAATGACCTGAAATTACTGAAATAGGTAATTATCTGGTTTGCTACTAGGCCAAGACAAAAAGAGAGAGGAAAAATCCTGGTAACTATATTTGGACCAATGCATGTATTGAAGCATAACTACAGAGAGTTTCATTAAAATTAAATATGTTACTGTGATGTATTTTTTCCCTGGATCTCCTCACTCTTAAAAACTTGTACCTCCTTTCCAAGCTTCACCCAAGGCATGGTAGTAAATCTCTTTCTACAAAGTCGACCTCAGGAGCGAGCTACAGAAGTATCAAGGACATCGCTTGGATAGATGATGCTTATTTGCAGATACAAGAAGGATTAATCATGAAGATTAATAATGAAGATCAATTGCTACAGACTAAGGCAATTAAGCTCTCTGTTTAAAACAGTCATAGGGTTTAAATCTTGCATCCCTTTCTCCCAACCTTACTTGGCAACCAGCTTCTCAACACTTGCTGCTTCTCAGCCTTGGATGAGGTGAGCACTTGCACTGTGTATTGATAATGGTGTTGTCTCATCTCAAGCTCTTGGTTTCCATGTCTGCTAGTTTAATGCTTCACACCATCGTAAACTTAATAACACAGTTTTAATAAACTTTTATATACAAAGTAATTTTGACTTAATTGCATAGCTCTTTCCACCAAGTAACCTTCCCTCTCACTCCTTCCCTTATTTTCCACTAGAACCGTGCAAGCCATGGTATTCCCTGTGACACTCTATGGAAGTGAAAGCTGGATTTTGAACAAGCAGGACAGGAGGAGCACTGATGCTTTTGAACTTTGGTGCTGGAGAAGACTCCTGAAAATTCAAGTAGGAAAGATAACAGCCTTTTAGCAAAGAATTTATTGCTTTCGCAAAACTGTAAATCATCCCCACTGTGGGACCTGCAGCCTCAAATCTTCTGCCGGATTTAACAGCAAACTTTTCAGAGGCACTGGTGTTTCTTTTAACACAGGTATGTAGCAACCGCAATTAGAGGGCACCATGTTTATTCCCCCATTTTCCTTGACATTGCCAGATGCACCTCATGTTGGTTGAATGATACTCGGCTGCCAGTGACAACATCCCTGTGCTGATTACAGGAAGACAGGTGGAGTATTACCAAACCAGCAGTCCGTGCACAATCACCTCCATCATTTACAAGGACCAGTGGGGGCAAATATTGTCCTTTTAAAGTACTAATACAACAGCCAGGTTTTTGGTCCCTGGGTCCCTGACCTTGTTTGCCATGCACAAGTGGCAACTGCCACAATATCCCCAGGAACAAGGGCAATATCCCCAGGAACAAGGGCAATTTCACAAGCATGACATGAGATCACGTACCCTCACTCTCAGGTGGTCCATTGGGCACAGTATGAAGAAGGCTGTCCCTCTGATCTGGCTCATGAGTTACCTGCAGAAGACAGACCTCATTCTCACATGCAGAACTGGTGCCTCCTGGTTTTTTGGCATTGCTCATTCTTCTCAAGGCCTGCAGAAAACAGCAGGACCATGATAGTTCTTCCCCCTTTCAACAACCATCCATAGGATTGTTGTGCATGCTCCGGAGGAGAGCACCAAAACCAGTGGATTAATAGAACAAGAAATTTCCTGACTGTATGAGCTGTCAGCCAGTAGCATGGGCTGCCACATGAAGTGGTGACTTCTTCTCTGAAAGACTTCAAATGGAGGCTTGTTCTCACTTACCACTGAATGGTGCTGTTCTGTAACATGCAAATGTTACAGGCAAAGCACTTGGTTGAGTCTTCTGGCTCTGCTGCCTCCCATCTTCAGCATGTCACCAACCAGCTGGAAAAATACCCACCAATCCCAGTGCTGCAATCAGAATGGGGCAGGTCTATCATCTCTAGGATACTTCTTGTATCCTTTCTTCTACACTCATAGGACAAAACAGGTTAAGTGACAAAATGGGCACTGAGTGCAAACTCCATCCTTTCCATACTTATGTGCAACATTGCAAAACACATTCCATCATTTGGGCATCATGGTGGCCACCCACAGGTGCTTATGCCTACCCTGCATTCTGTTGTAATCCAAGTTGAAGAAAATTTCAAGAAAAGAAATGATTGGAGCAGAATCACAAGCAGCACTTCTATTGAGGATTCCTTTCACCTTGCCTTTCCTATGCAAGTAAAAAGGCCAGATTCCAGTTCCTCCTGGATTCCGTTCAGAAATGGTGTCCCAGTATTCTTCTCTTCCATTATTTCAACCTGATGCTGAACCATTAAGAACCACAGAGTTAAAGCACTTTCAGCTGAATATCCTTGGACTGTCCAGAATTGCTGTGAGTTGGGCAGCTTCATACTTAATAAATATTGCCCAATTTTCTAAAACCACCAGCAAAGTGTTGCAGCCTGTCCAGCTCTTTAGGAGAAAAAAATCAGAATGGCTGTTGATGAGGCTGACCAGTGTCTGAATGTGAGGATATATTCCTGTTGTTGTGCTCTTTGTTACAAGAGTCTTAACACAGCCCTGAGTGTGTTATAACTTAAAACCCTCATTACATACTATTTTGAGTCATAGCACTCTCCCAATCTTCCATTTTATTTTCCTCTCCATTAATCTCCTAAGTCCTTACTCTTCATGTCTGTTGCAATGTCCCCTGGGACTTCTAGTTCAACACTACACCTGCCTCATCCTGAAATGGCCCATAAGTGCCTCTCTGATTCCACCCCCTGTTGGTCACCTGCCTCTGATATACAGTAATGGGAGGCAAAGAGCTTTTGCACATCTTGAAGTTGCCAAGCTAATTTCCAGAGAAGGGGATGTGCAAACAGAGACTTCCCACTGAATCCCTTTGCAGTCAGTGTCCCCCATAAGACCAGATCCCAAATATCATTACAAAACTACTGTAGATCTGGAAATTTATGCCTGACATTGGTAGGTTTCTTTCTCCAAATGCAATGAAGAAATATTGGGTTTTGTCTCCTCCTTGCAAGAGGTGTAACATTCCAAGATTCCCCCATCCAAATAAGAGAAGGTCAAAATTAGGGATGTGCAATGAAGTGCAGTGAAGTGAAGGGGGCATGGCTGCATTCAGTGTACCTTTGCATCTCCTTAAAGAAGCTGTGCCGTTCCCGGACTTGCAGTAACCGTATATGCTCATGAAAATACACCTTGGAGTTAAGGAGATGGGATTAGGGTACAATGTCCTTGTTTTCAGCCTGTCAGGGCCTCCTTAACTCAAACAGGTTATCTTCTTTCTGGGATGACATGGCTGCCATGAGCCCAAGAAAAGACACAGTTGGTATGAAGAAATGTAGACCTAGCCTTGGAAAAGAGGGAGGAAGGAACGAACCTTTAAAGACGATTTTTGGAAAAGATTGCACCAGAAAGAGGAAACCATGAGGAAGAGGCTCAAAATAATCCCACTTTTTGTTAGGTATAAGATGGGACAGAGAAAGCCTCTGAGAGGTATTTAAGATTCTGTTATTCTACCCTACAATCATAAAGAGCATTCCTGGACTCTCTGTTATGTGACCTGGCCTATTGTGAAGGGCTGACTGCTCCCCTCCAGAGCACCAGTTCCACGTGTGATCCTAACAGCTCCACATCACTAGTCTAGATCCATGCATCAGGAAAACATTGCAGATAAGTATTTTCATGAATGAAATACTGTCTGGATTCATGTATTGTGGGAAGTCATGGATTATTTAATCATGATGTACTGAATAAACAATTGGCTGCATGTACATAGCAGGTTACCTCATAATCATGGTTCAAAAACCCCAGTGGCTAAAGACTAAAGAAATGTCATTATGGCTGAACTCATTGAGCAGATCCTGCCTCTAATGTCCTACTATGAAGCTCAATAGTGAAGCTTTAATTCTAAGATAAGGTGGTGACTTTGTCAGTTATTGGCAAGATGACCTAAATTTTATCATGGAAAAAACAGATATATAAAAATGGTTCATACTTTGGACTATCCCATGGTTTGTTCCACCATCACTTCCTGAATAAACCAGCAGCATTGGGGGGCGGGGGGGGGGAGGGACAAAATTCAAAAAAAAACGGGGGGGGGTG